TATCGATATATTCTGACATAGAATTTTATGTTATATTTTATCTGAGATAGTTTTTAATTAAGTTTTATATTATATTTTAAAAATATTTTTTTAGGGGAAAAATAATTTTTATAGGTATAAATTTTAACTAAGATATTTTCAAAAATTTTCTTTCCGTAGTCCATGAGTACATATGATGAACTCCCCTCATGCAAATGTTTGCCTAGATCGGGTCCATGCGCATCAAAGAGAAAAAAAAAAATCTTGTGCCACGTGGCAGTGGCGTCAGATATTTCCGCTTTGAGTATACCAAATAGCCCCCCTACCGATTCCGCCCCTCTTAATCAAGTGGAAATAAATATCTCCTCTCCCTTGATTTTCCTCTTCCATCTCTCCTCTCTCTCCTCTCTCTCTCTCCCTCTCGCATTCTAAAGCTTGATGGATCTCAAAACGTTGATGGACTGCTCCGATGGGCGATGGACGGAGGAGCGCCACTCCCTCTTCCTCAACTGTCTGGAGGCCTCCTTCGTCCGCCGTGTGCACGGCCTCACCTCCGCCGGCAGCGTTGCTGCCATACCAGCGGTTCTGCCATACCTTCCCGATGTATTGAGACAAACGGCGGCCTGAGGCTCGACCGCTACGTCCCTGATAGCGCCACCGAGTCAACGGAGGACTCACGAAGGCTCTCGCAGACTACGGCGGCGGCGGCGCCGCCCCCGGTTGTTGATTCCGGTATATTATTACTATCATTCAAATTATCTTTGCCTATAATATGAATCGTTAATTTTCATTCATGCTGCTATTAATCTTAAAATTTTTATTTTTTAATTAAAAAATTGGGGTGGATAAGAGACTGATGGGAAAGGCGCGGCAGGCCAGCTGTTTTTTAATATCATTTTTTCAAAATTTTCTATTTCTTTGTATCGCATTGAATTTTTTATAATTTTTAATAAAAATATATTATTATATATATATATTAATTTTAAAAACTTTAAACGCGTAATGACACAGTTGAAAATTTATTTTTATGTCAAGATATACTAAAATTACTTAATAAATTAAACTAAAAGTTGTTGAAATTCATATTTAATTAAATTCCAGTTTGAGCAAACACGGACATAAAAACTGATTTTCAATTACGATGGTCTACTTGCACTATATCGAAATTACCTCAGATATTTGTTTCTTCCTCAAATATGGCGGCCTCAGACAGAACTAATTATACAGGGAGTTCTTCACAGCTTTACGGTTAAATAAAAAATCAATTCATTCTACTTTATTTATATTTTATTAAAATTAACAATCTAATATTAATATTATTTATCTTTTAATTAGTTACTTCATAGGTTGTATGTGATGTATAAGTCCTGGCTCGAGCTCGACTCAATAGTGGCTAGTGAGTCGAGTTTGATGAGGCTATACAAGGCTTTTCAAACGGCTTTTTTAATGCCTATCTTTAAAATAATTTATGAAAGAGTATTCAATGTAAAATCATTGAAATATAGTACACAAAAATGGTTAACATAATTAAAATTATATTCAGTTTCTTATATTATGTTTTTCATCATTTTCTTATAATATTTTTTTTTTTTTTTCCATTTTATTATCACAGATAGTATCTTTGAATTAATAATTGTTTTCTCTCCTTCATAATAAATCAATGCATGCTCAAAATTTATTTATAGAATAGATTAGATTGTATGCTTGTATTTTTGTTTTTAAATATTTTAAGAAATTAAAGTTTATATATTTAAAAATTCAGTAAAAGAAGCCGTCCCAACATTGAAGCGTTGACACTTCAAATATATGTCTCGACTTGATTCTTTAAATCCTAATATTGAACAGGAAGAAATTAAAATTATATTTTTAGTTGTATTATAAATATTTCTAAACTTTATTTGGTTAATTTATTTTAGAATCGGGATGTGCTTCAATCTTTACTGGCGTGAACACACGGAAGCGACCTCTCGCGCTGCTTCATGCTTCTCAGGACCAGGTTTGCTTCCATGAACTAATATTCTTTTTTGTCTTAACAAAATTAGGAAAATATTAAATTTTAATTTAATTTTATAAGTTAGT